TCAATTTGTAACCATGAAAATACATCCTGTATATCAGATATTTACATTACAATTCATAACTAGCAAAATTACAGTTATGAAGTAGCAACGAAAATAATTTTATGGTTGGGGGTCACACAACATGAGGAACTCTATTAAAGGGTCGTGGCCTTAGGACGGTTGAGAACCACTTTTAAATGGAGGTCTGAATGAAATTTTGAGGCTATTTCTTGCATGATCCTTACCTAAATGTATGTTTCTCTGAAGGTCAAGGACATCTATTTCTAGTGACATGGCGGATTAGATGTTCAGAGAGGCTGTATTGTTTTAAACCCACTGTTGCCGAGTCGATTCCAACTCATAGTGACTCTATACAGTGAAGAATCCCCAGGGTTGTCCTACACTGCCAGTCTTCATCTTTCTTCCAGAGGAGCTCCTCTCAGCGGGGCTGAGCTATGAACCTCACAGTTAACTTACTGCACCACCACCACAGCTTTTTTCTTGCTGAGAGAAAATGTCTGCAGTCATCCAGTGATCACAGAGGCAGGTTTAAACATGGTTTGTTGTAATAAATCTGTACACATATAAACTGCAACCTTAGAAATACTTTTTGACTTATACTTGTAAAAATGAAAAATAATTTGAAGATAAAAAGAAAGTGAACAGATGATTACATTGAAGAGCAGTTTAAAATCTTTGTACTGAAAAATAACAAGGGCCCTGATAATCTTTTAAGTGATTACAATTAAAAAACCAAAGAAGAACAAATAATAACAATCCATCTCTCTCTCTCTTTTTTTTTTTGGTTTCTACTTTCTGTATTTTTGGTTTGTAATGTTTGTTTTTAAAAAAATCATTTTACTGTGGACTCTTACAGCTCTTATAACATTCCATATATCAATTATATCATGCATATTGGTATATATGTTGCCATCATCATTTCCAAAACATTTTCTACTTGAGCCCTTGGTATAAAGCTCTTCTTTTTACCCCTCCCCTCCCCACCATTCCACCCTCGTAATCCTTGATCAATTATATCTTGCTATTATTTCATATCTTACACTATCCATTGCCTCCCTTTACCCACATTTCTGTTAACAGTCTTAAACCCTTCCAAAAGCAATCCAAACCAAACTCACTGCCATTAAGTAGATTGATTCATACAAAACCCAACCACGATGATGTGTTTAGGCTTTCTCTTCTTCTTCATGGTGCCTGAGATCTTGAAGCTGCAAGTGACAGCCCAGGCACAACAGTCTATTCACCTGGATCAGCAGGAACAGGAGGAGGAATGGAATGTGTTGTAACTGTCTCTAGGAACAACTGTCTCCTTTGCTGTAAGCCCCAAAGAACTGGATGGTTCCTAACTACATTTATTGAGCAGAATCCTGATCATAAAGGAGGAAATGTACAACAGAATGTGAAATTCTTCTGGAATCCAATCTTTCTAGAGCCCCAGAGGCTGGCTGCACTCCTGGATAGTGTTGCCTGGAGATAATCTTTAAATATTAAAACAAAAATATCCCTCAATTCTTCTTAAAATCAAACAACAGTTTAGCTTAACTAATACAAAATGTCTGCCTTCAGCCCTGTGCTCTTTTAAGATCTAACTATCTGGGATCAAACTAACAAAAGAACCTCAAAAGACTGGATAGAAGGCTTGCTCTCATTGTCATCAAGTTGATTCTCGCTTACAGTCGACTCTACAAGGGCAAGGCAAAACTACCCCTGTAGATTTATGAGACTGTAGCTCTTTTTCACAAGAGCAGAAAGCCTCATCTTTCTCCTGCAGAGAAGATGGTGGTTTCAAACTGCCAGCCATGAGGTTAGAAGCCCAACTCATAACCCACTATGCCACTAGGGCAGTATGTCATGGGGGAGGAGTAACTCAGAAAAGGTGTTCTGAATGGTTGAACAATTCAAAGAATATAATCAATGTCACTGGATTGTACTTTTAGAAATTGTTGAATTGGTGAATGTTTTGCTGTGTATTCTCGGAGTAATAAAAGACAAAATTTTAAAAGCTAAAAATCCAACCAGGGCATTATGAGAAAATTTACAGGCTAATTTGACTCATGAAAACAGATGTTAACACCCTATATAAATGCAAGCAAACTAAATCTGGTGATTTATATGAAAGATAATTCATCGTGATGAAGTTGGGTTTATCCCAGAAACATGGCTAGTTTTAATTTGAAAATCTCTATAACTGACCACATTTAACAGGTTAAGGAGGACAATTCTAGGTCATCTCTAGAATTCTAGTAAAACTTTCTAATAGACTTCAACACCTACCATTCATAATTAATAAAAAACCCTCTTAGAAGGTGTAAAAAAATTAAATTGCCTTTCCTTGAAAACAAACTTACTACAACAAGCGTCATTTCCCACAACAAACTTACTACAGCAAGTGTAAGTTTGGTGAAACTGAAAATTATTTCCTTTGAGATCAGGAATACGAGAAACAAAATTGTGAATCTGTGCAGACATCTAATACAGATATGGTTCAGTGATACATTAAATCACTAACGATACAAGAAGGTAGACAGAAGCCTACCCAGATATGGAAATTTGATTTATGATACAAAAGGAGCTTTGTAGATCAATGAGAAAAGGAAAATGCTTTCAATAAATAGTACTGGGATAACTAATTATCCATATTGAAAAAACTGAAATTATATTTCTTACCTTTCACAAAAAGAAACTATTAAGAGGTTCAAGAATTAAAGATGAAAGACAATATCATATAGCTTTTAGTAGGTAATGTAGGAGAGAATATGGGACCTCTGGATAGGAAGAAATTTCCTAAACAAGAAAAACTATAAAGGGAAAATTCCCTATGTCTAAATAAATTAAAATCAGGAACTGTCGTTGGCAGTATAGTGGGTTACGTGGTTGGCTGCTAACTGCAGGTCAGCAATTCAAACCCACCAGTCTTTCTACAGGAGAAAGTTGAAGCTTCCTGCTCCCAGACAGATTTATAACCTTAAAACCCAAAGGGGCAGTTCAACTCTGTATTATAGGGTCGCTAGGAATTGGAATAAACTAGATGGCAAATTGACAGATGAGCTATCATAGTATGTATGATGAGTTATAAAGATAATATTTATCCCAAAATAATATTTTTCCCCTTATATCAAGAAAAATAATTCCCACTTCATTCTCCATAAAAAACACGTTCCCTTCTACCTAAAACTCACACCGACTTAAAGGTAAGCACTTTCAATTTAAACTGTAAGCCTCTGGTTCACATAAAAACAAAATGATTTTAACCACACATAAGCTCCTACATTTAGACTCGTAATTTCTACAGTGCTGCCCACACAGCACTTTGTGAGCATGTGATTAAGGGGAATGATGCACAATCACACCACATTCCTTCCCTCAGCTCACACATCAAGAACCTGCCCTCTCAGCTGCATTCTTCTCTAAACAGCTATGGTCACCTTAGCAACCCTATGCTCCAAATATGGACAGCTGGTCCATTTAAAGTCAGACCTTCTTGGCAATGAAACTGCTTGTTCTTCAAATTGGGGATGAGAGAAGAGGTTTTCCTTTCAATACACATTACAGAGGTTGATTTAACTTGATCAGCACTTTTGTTCTGTGGCAGCAATTTGTGTAGCGTTTCAACCAATTCTGAGCTTTTTCTATTTTGTTTTTAAATTTAAAAGTGGTTAAAAGAAAAAAAATCAAAGAAAAAAAAGACAAAAATCAAGACAGCCCAAATGGGCTTTTAAGGAAGAAGGGAATATGAAATAAAAATTTACCTGAAGTAATTGCATTCTTTTATAAATTTACATTTTTGAAAGATCGGTTTTACTGAAATTTAGTCGTAGAATCTGAAGCCTTAGCACACAGTCAGAAAGGAGAGGCAAGAGACCTGTCTTTGTAATATCATAGCTTATTTCTGAACAATAACATACAGTTAAACTTCACAGGTTAACTGTAGCTTTTTAAACAGACGATTAAATCTGCATTCCTTCTGTGAGACCTCTCTTAATCTTTCCACAGGTCCAAATACAAGCTAGGTATCAAATACCCAAAAGTCAGTATATCAGAGATCTTTCAGCTCCAGAATGGCTCGGAATAGAACTGGCGTGCTCAACACCATCTTGATCGGTGTCTGTGCCCCTACTGTTGGGCCTAAACCAAATTAAGCCTCTCAGGATAAAAGATACAGGTTTATAATCCACTTCATATTAACAAACAAACTATTTAGGGGGTGAGGATGGGCCTACATATTTGAGAATATGTAACTTTAACTGCACCTGCTATATACAGTAAGCTATCCTTTGCTATGGTGGCAGGACAGATCAAGAAAAGAACCTGAAGTGAATCCCATAACTGGTTTCCTCATTTGTAAAATGGGAATACAATTTATCCTACTTCACTATGTATAAACATAATAAGGTCCTATTATTGAAAGTAACATGTTAACCTAAAATACTAAAAAATTAAAGGGTTTGGGAACAGAGAAGGGTTAGAGAGATGGAAAAACTATCTTCAAAAGTACATAAACTTAAATGGAAGATATGCTGAGAAACAACAGCTTCACCTTGTGAAATGTTTGTTTAAAAAGATTTCTTAAGATCTTGTAGCAATAGTTTTGGACTTACCCTTGTATTTGGGTAAAAAAAAAAAAAAAAAAGCAATGAAAACCCCAAAGCCACTGCCCTCTAGTCAATTCCAACCCTATAGGGCAGAGAAGAATTGCCTATAAGGTTTCCAAGGCTGTAATCCTTACAGGAAGACGTTGCCACATCTTTCCCGTGTTATTATTATAATGGTATTATAATGACTTTTTAAAATACATTTCCTTTAAAGTTGTGATTGGATAATATTACACTTGGGATTCTTAAAAAGAGGCACAGTACAGCCACAAATTTTCTAAAATTATATGTTAGACTTTGTAAAAGTAAAAATGTAAGTTGATACTTTAAAAATGTCCACTCTATCTTTATTGTTTGTCTAAGTAGATAACATGAGTATGGAGTAAAACAAGATTTGGCCACACTTACTAGTCTGGTTGGAAAGCCACAGCATCTTACTTTATGACATACTGACTGTCTCATCACTGCTCCAGCAGAGTATCTAGTTGTTAAGGGCCATTTCTGAAATAAAAGATACAGTTATTCAGAGTTACTTTACATATATTATCATATAAAATATAATTTAAAACAATCTTTCAGGATAGCTAAATGTTTATTGACCAAAGAGAAATCCAAACCATTCTTGAACCTTCCAAAAGAGAAGAAAAGACACACATATTATTAATTGAGGTGAGGGTAAGTGGGAGGGCTGGAATACTGGCTATTGTTCCACAAGCGCATGTAGCATATCTCAGGTCCTGAATAATGGCGCTCCAGTCTCTGTGGCTCTCCAGGTCTGTGACCCAGCAGGGCCTCGCAATTCCTAATGGGAAAAAGAACTATGAAGGAAAAAGAAAAAAAGGAAGAGAAGCTCAAAACCCACTTGCTGTCAACATACTAAATTAATTCACTTTCCGATTATCATAATAATCTATGATATCACACAACTAATGAGATAGAAATAGAGAACAATACAGCTAGCAATGCTGAGGGGCACAAAGCAACAAAGTCCCTAGGGAATACCGGAAATAGAATTTGGACTGGGGGTGGGGTGGGGCAGGGCTTGGCACCTCATCAGACTCAATCGCAAAGCATTCATAAAGGTCAGCAGACAGACCTGGAACAACTTATAGGCTTCTCCCCTCCTCCTCCTTTTTTTCTTCTTCTTGTCTATCTATATAAGATAGGCAGGATAAACAATCCTGAGGAGAAAACAATGGGACTGAAGGTTCTAAGGGACCGGGGAGAGGGGGAGGTGGGGGAAAGGTAGGGGACAGCCAACAAACTCAGGGTCAAGGGAACATCAAGAGATCTAAACTTGATGGAGAGGAAAGCATAGAATGCCTGGTGGGGTTTGATAAGTGCAATGTAGCCAAGAGGAATTACAGAGAGCCAAATGAAGGTAGGTAGAACATGATAGTGGGACAGGAGGAAAGTAAAAGGAAAAAGAACTAGGAGGCAAAGGACATTTATAGAGGTCTAAATATAGGCACGTATATATGTAAATATATTAATACATAACAAAAGGGATATAGATCTATGTACATATATTTATATGTTAAGTATCAAAGTAGCAGATGAACATTGGGTCTCTCTTGAGTCCTCCCTCAACTCAAGAACACTTTGTTCTTATAACCTGGCTTTCTGCGATGCTCACCTTCCCGACATGATCACTGAAGACAAAATAGGTGCATAAGAAAATGTGGTGAAGAAAGATGATGGTGCGAGGCTATTACAAAAATACAGCATCTGGGGTCTTAATGGCTTGAAGTTAAACAAATGGCCATCTATCAGGGAAGCAACAAAGCCCACAGGGAAGAAGCACACCAGCTTGTGTGATCACAAGGTGTTGAAGGGATCAGGTATCAGAAGACCCAAAACAAACAAACATATCAACATAAATGAAGGGGGGGTTGGAGTGGAGACTAAATGCCCACCTGTAGACAATGGGACATTCACTCACAGAAGGGTAACAAGGAAGGGATGAGTCAACCAGTGTGCAGTATAGCCCCGATGAACACACAACATTCTTCTAGCTCTTTAATACTTCCTCTCCTCCAGTACCATGACCCCAGTTCTACCTTACAAATCCGACTAGACTAGAGCGTGTACACTGGTACAGATACGAGCTCTCAATGCAGAGAATCCAGGACGGATAAGCCCCTCAGGAATAGCAAAACCATGAGGTAGGGACAGATGGGGCGAAGAGGGGGAGAAAGGAGGAACCAATTGCAATGATCAACGTGTAACACCCCCCCTCCCCCCGCCAACAACAGAAATGTGAGTGAAGGGAGATAGTGGATGGTGTAAGATATGAAAATAATAATAATAATAATTTATCAATGGGTCACAAGGGTGGGAGGGTGGGGAAGGGATGAAAAAAGAGGAGCTGATGTCAAGGGCTCAAGTAGAAAGAAAAGTTTTGGAAATGATGATGGCAACATATGTACAAATGTGCTTGACACCATGGATGTATGGGCTGTTAAAAGAGCTGTACGAGCCCCCAATAAAATGATAAAACAAGATTTACTAAATAATTAAAAAATTAGCAATGCTGAACAAAAAAACCCATGCAAATAGGCTGTTTCTTCACATTCATGACTACATACTTCATATAGGCCTTCAATATTAATATTTCCTGGTAATCCTGCTTCATTTCTCTGGCTTGCGATCATTGTCTTTCATATTTCCTTCTCCCCCCAACCTCCACTACCTGTAGCCTCCCTAATTCTAAAGTGATGCCTGGCTTTGTATTTCACTGAGAAAGGGGAAGCTTTCAGATAAACTGAAATTCTGCTCATCTTCCCACAACCACATGCACAGACATACTATGGAAACACTTCTTGGTGCCTCTTTCCTGTTGTTCTGTCTGAATGCCTTCTGTCTAAAAGAGGAAAGCTACTTTCCCAACAAGTCCCTTTGTAAAACTCTGTTTCACGACTTGTCTATGGCCGCAAGGTGAGTTTTCTTTCAAGATCCATTTGGCCAATAGGGTGCCATTTTAAACTGTGATCCAAGCTTTGATACACATGCTAGAAGTACAAGTTTTATATGTGAGGAACTTATCTACAGAATACTAGTAAATGGCAATGAAAAATACGAGTTTCTGTCCAAGGCTTTTTGCAATAGAGAAAGATTATCAACTTGGCCACCTATTTTGCCAATGCAGGACAAAAAGTGCTAATCAAAGAGCTACTCACTAGTTATTTTTGTTTAGCTTTTTTCAGAGGGGGGGTGGGGGGTAAGGGGAAAAAGAAAACCTTCTTCCCTTGTTCACCTCAACAAGGCCGCCAGATTAGTTCTTTTCAAAGTAAGACTATGCCACTCCTCTATTCTAACCCCCCAGTGGAGTCCCATCTCATTCCTACTTCATCTCCTACCGCTCTTGCCAAGGTTCCCTCCACTGTAGGCCCAACAACCTCTTTTGTTTAGTTTTTTTTCCCCTTTTTTTTTCTTCTTCTCTTAAACACATCAAACCCCATTCTTTTACTCTGCCTGCAACACCAGAAAGGAGTGCTAGTGGGGCTGTGGGGTAAACACTGGGCTGCCATCACAAGGTACACTTTTAAACCCAACGGCTGCTCTCCCAAAGAAAGAGGAGGCTATGCGGTCCCTAAAGATTTAGTGTCGGAAACCTCTAGGAGTGGGCTGGTTGCAACATCAACTATTTTTCAGGCTTATTCCTCTTCCACTTCCTTTAGAACTTGGTTTTTAATAAAGGCACCTTGTCAAAGGGAGATGCCCTTCCAAAAAAAACCCCACCAAAAACCTTACTGCCATCAAGTTGACTGGAGCTCACAGCAACGCCATAGGGCAGATTAGAGCTGCTTCCAAGACTAAATCTTTTTTTTTTCCTCCCAAGACTAAATCTTTATGGACATAGAGTCTCATCTTTCCCTAGCAGAGTGGCTGGTGGGTTTGAACTGCTGATCTTGTGGCCAGCAGCCCAATGTACAAAACCGACTACACCATAAGCCCCCAATATCTGTCTCTGTTTTGCTGTTCCGGCAGAGAATGCTTCAAGAGCTATGCTATCTCTTTTAAAACATTTTTATGATCACAATTTGAAAGAGGCAATGACAATGTAGTAACTATCACAGCTTGTGTTTGATTATTGTTTCATTTCTAAATTATCTGTATCAAAACTACAAAGGGTCACTAATAGGGTCACTTTGAGTTAGAATTGAATCTAGGGCATTTTTTGTACCATAACTTTAAAAAGGAGTGGTGACTGATTTGAATGTAGTAGGTCCAATTAAGAAACAACAACTACTGTATTAGCAAAATAAATGGCGTTCCTTCTTCCCACTCTGTTAGGGATCACATTATTAAGTTCCAAGTAATTGAAAAAAGAAAAGAAAAAAGGTTTAACTACTTCAAATTTATCTTCTACCTTTAGGCCCCAGGACCATTAGAAAGAATCAAAAGAACTCACTAACTCCAACATGATTAGACTAGCTCTGACATGGTAGGGATGCTTGACCTTAATTGTTTTTCTTTAAATAAACAAAATTCCCCTGGGCTAAGGCCTACTCTGCCTTTTAAACATTCCATAGCTGGCAACCTTCAGGGTCTTAAGAGAGAAGACAGCCCGGGAATAGAAAAAGTCAGTATGACTCAGTGACTACATTTATTAGTCCTTGAAGACCGAAACAAAGATATCAGTTTTGGCAAAAGTTCTCTAGAATTGCCCAAAAACTGACTTATCCACATATCTTTCATCTGAACAATCTATTTTCACTTAGTTTAAGGTTCACAAAGCATTTGTTATGTACCTATCAGACTTGAGGTACAAAAATAAACCAAGAGTACAATGAAAACAATTGCCGAGGTTCCAAGAGTTGAATACTGAAATTTAATATTAAAATTTGTTTTGTTTGAGGTAGAGGGGGCAGAGAGAACCTTTGAGCATTTTTATGCAGAAATGCTCCATTTGTCTGGGAATTTTATTTTAGCAAGGTCACTCATTTCGAGCAACACCCGTGTACTTCACATTTACAGACTTTAGCTCACTTCACTCTCAGAACCCCCTACTGGAAGGGTACTGACCAAGCAGAGTACTTACAGAACTTGCCCAAACCAGAAAGGGCAGATCTAGGATTCAAAATATTAGCCCATCTTTTCTAACCTGTAGTGACCAGGTATAAAATCCTTAGTCATAAATTCCACATTTACATTTACAGTAATTGGTGTTCATTCGTAATGATTAATCTGAATCACCTCTACATGACTATTATTCTATATACCCTGAAAAGTCAAGGAAGAAATGCTAGAATTTAATCCAGTGGGGGTATACACACTGTTCATCAAAATAGATTCTGTACTTTTCTGAATATTTGAAGTGTTTCTCTCTCTCCACAGCGATACATGTGTGTTTGTATACTTACATATATGCATACATGTAAGTCTAAACATTCCATTCATTTATTTTAATTTACAATAAAGATATTAGTTATGTCACATTTCTCCTTTTAAAAAAACTCATGTTAAACCAGTTCTTGATATCAGAT